CCAAAAATCACAAACGGAGCTGTGGCTCTAAGTGGTAGAACACTATCATACAAGTTCAGGGATAGCGCGTAGGCCTGAGTTCAAGGCCTAGGACCAGCACTAGAAAAAAAAAAAAAAAAAGAGGTAGGGATTCTTGCTATGTTGTATGGGCTAGCCCCTCATTTCTGGGCTCAGAAGATTCTATTGCTTTACTTTCCCAGACATCTGGGACTGTAGGTATATACTATCACACTAAACAAAAAGCTGATTTTTATATAGCACATGCTACAAAAATATGTTTTCCTATGCATTTGTGTGTAAATCTTTAAATGCTCACTTTTGAGGATAAAAATACATACCAGTTTCAAAGCTTCCAAAATATTAATGATTTCCATTTTATTGATTTTTAATGTGCTAATATTTAATATTTTGTAGATTATATATTATTTTTCATTTTCTCTTCTACTACAGAAAATAAACAAAAACCCGGATGCCAGTGCCTCATTCCTATAATCCTAGCTACTCAAGCAGCTAAGACCTGAAAGAATGAGAATCAAAGCCAGGTTGGGCAGAAAACTCTGTCTCTAAAATAACCAGCAAAATGCTGGACTTAAGGGATGGCTTAAGTAGTACAGTGTTAACTTAAGCTGAACAAAAAGATCATGCCATGAATCCAGACTTTGGTATTGGAAGGGGGAGAGGGAGAAAAAGCAAAAGTCACATTTCAAAAACAAGTCTGTAGCTGGGCATGGTAGGTAGTTCATGTTGCAATCTCAGCACTTCAGAGGCTGAAGGCAAGAGGTTTGTGAGTTTGAGACTGAGGCTAAAGCTGGGAAGGTGGCTCCGTGGTAGAGTGCTTGCCTGGCATGCATGAGGTTCAATTCCTCAGCAACACATACACAGAAAAGGCCGGACGTGGTACTGTGACTCAAGTGGTAGAGCACTAATCTTGAGCTGAAGAGCTGAGGGACAGGGCCCTAGCCCAGAGTTCAGACCCATGACTGACCAAAAAAGAGAGAGAGAGAGAGACTGGGGCTAGCCTGGACTACACAATGAGATTGTCTTAAAAAAAAAATTAAAAAGAAACAAAAGCCAGGCGCCAGTGGCTCACACCTGTAGTTCCAGCTACTCAAGAGACTGAGATCTGAGGATTGTGGTTCAAAGCTAACCCAGGCAGGAAAGTCTGTGAGACTTTTATCTCCAATTAACCACCAGAAAACTGGAAGTGACACTATGGCTTCAGTGGTAGAGCACTTGCCTTGAAGAGTTGAGGGACAGCACCCAGGGCCAAAGTTCAAGCCCCATGAGCGACCAAAAAAAAAAGACAAGTCTGTAGTTTCCTATCTTCAAACACATAAAAAACAAGCTCTGGAATATTCAATTTGATATAACTAATATGAACAACACATATAACATAAACTCATTCACTACTTGCAGAAATGTAAAATGGTACAATCACTTTGGAAAAAGATTGGCAGGCTCTTACAGAACATACTGTTGCAGGGCTCGGAAAGTGGTTTCAGTGGTAGAGCGCTTGCCTTGCATGCATGAGGCCCTGGGTTCGATTCCTCAGTACCACATAAGCAAAAAGAAAAAAGCCGGAAGTGGCACTGTGGCTCAAATGGTAGAGTGCTAGCTGAAGAGCTGAGGGACAGTGCCCAGGTCCAGAGTTCAGGCCCCACGACTGACAAAAAAAAAAAGAACATGCTGTTGCTCTATCATTCAATAATTACACTCTGTGGTATCTACCCAAATGAGCTGCCAAAGAAAAATAGTAAACATATTTATAGCAGCTTTATTCACCATTGCTAAAACTCTGGAATAATGAAGATGTCCTTTAGCAGGTAAATGGATAAACTATAGTATATCCAGACAATGGACTATTATTCAGTGCTGAAGATAAATGAACTATCAAGCCATGAAAAGACACAGAGCAACTTTACTTGTTGAAAGAAGCCAGTCTGAAGGGCTACCTACTGTCATAATTCTTACTATATGACAATGTAAAAAGAACAGTTATTTCCAGGGCCTAGGTGGGAGAGAACAGTAATAGGAAGAGCTCAGATTATCATTAGGGCAGAGACACTATTAAGTATGGATTTATTATTATTTGCCAAAAGTCAACATAATATGGGGCTGGGAAGGTGGCTCAGTGGTAGAGCGCTTGCTTTGCATGCCTGAGGCCCTGGGTTCGATTCCCAGCACCACATAAGCAAAAAGAAAAAAGC